ACCTTTCCCCTCCCCCCCGTCTCACCTCCAGCACCATCCAGGTGGAGGCGGTGACGAGGAGGGGGAGGAGCCCCAGGGGGTCGGGGGCGGCCAAATCCGGGAACCAGCCCAGCCCCCCCCGCCTCAACCCCGGCACCGGAGCCGCCGCCATGCCCTGCAGGGCCAGGAAAAACGACACGAAAAGGGGGGTCTGGGGACCCCCAAAAATTAGAATTTAATTGGGGAAGGTTCCAGAAAAAATTGGGATTTTTTACGGAATTTAAATCGGATTTTTTTTGCATTTTTGGCGAATTTTTTTGCATTTTTCGCGAATTTTTTCCCATTTTTTTCGGATTTTTTTCCATTTTTTCATGATTTTTTCACGAATTTTTAATGATTTTTCCATTTTTTTCCTGGTTTATAATAGTCCTAAATAAAGAAATTTTTTTACTTTTTTTTCTCCATTTTTTTTGCAATTTTTTCACATTTTTTCCCATTTTTTTGATTTTTTTCGTGATTTTTTAAGGATTTTTCAGGCATTTTTTTTAGAATTTTTAGCTCCAAAATAATCTCAAAATCAAAGAATTTTTAACAATTTTTCCCTCCAATTTTTAGAATTTTTTCCCATTTTTTTCAGAATTTTTTTCAGATTTTTTTCAATTTTTTCTCTTTTTTTTTTTTGCTCAATTTTCTCATTTCTCACCCGACGCCGCCCCCCTGCCCTGCAGGGCCAGGAAAAACGACACGAAAAGGGGGGTCTGGGGACCCCCCAAAAATTAGAATTTAATTGGGGAAGGTTCCAGAAAAAATTGGGATTTTTTACGGAATTTTAATCGGATTTTTTGGGGATTTTTGGCGAATTTTTTTGCATTTTTCGCGATTTTTTTCTGATTTTTTTCCATTTTTTTCATGATTTTTTCACGATTTTTTCAGGATTTTTCCAATTTTTTCCTGGTTTATAATAGTCTTAAGTAAAGAAATTTTTTTACTTTTTTTTTTCCATTTTTTTTGTATTTTTTTCACATTTTTTCCCATTTTTTTGATTTTTTTCGTGATTTTTTTAAGGATTTTTTCGGCATTTTTTCAGCATTTTTAGGTCTAAGATCACCCTAAAACTAAGAGTATTTTTCACATTTTTTTCTCAAATTTTTAGAATTTTTTCTGGTTTTTTTTCAGATTTTTTTCCATTTTTTTCCCAATTTTTTCGTGATTTTTAAAGGATTTTTCAGGGTTTTCTTCAGAATTTTTAGCTCTAAAATCATTCTAAAATTAAAAAAATTTTCCTTATTTTTTTCTCAAATTTTTAGAATTTTTTCAGATTTTTTTCAGATTTTTTCCAGATTTTTTCCAGATTTTTTTCGGGTTTTTCGTGAATTTTTTCCCAATTTTTTTGGAATTTTTTCGTGATTTTTTAAGGATTTTTTTCGCATTTTTTCAGAATTTTTAGGACTAAAATCATCCTAAAATTAAAATTTTTTTTCCACATTTTTTCTCAAATTTTGAGAATTTTTTCAGCTTTTTTTCCGGATTTTTTTCCGATTTTTTTCCATTTTTTTCCCAAATTTTTCGTGATTTTTAAAGGATTTTTCAGGGTTTTTTTCGGAATTTTTAACTCTAAAATCATCCTAAAATTAAAGAATTTTTTCCTTATTTTTCCTCGAATTTTTAGAATTTTTTCACATTTTTTTCAGAATTTTTTCCAGATTTTTTCCAGATTTTTTTCGGGTTTTTCGTGAATTTTTTCCCAAATTTTTTGAAATTTTTTCGTGATTTTTTAAAGGATTTTTCAGGCATTTTTTCAGAATTCTTAGTTCTAAAATCATCCTAAAATTAAGAATATTTTTCCTTATTTTTCCTCGAATTTTTAGAATTTTTTCACATTTTTTTCAGAATTTTTTCAAACTTTTTCCAGATTTTTTTCAGATTTTTTTCGGGTTTTTCCTAAATTTTTTCCCAATTTTTTTGAAATTTTTTCGTGATTTTTTAAGGATTTTTTTCGCATTTTTTCAGAATTTTTAGCTCTAAAATCATCCTAAAATTAAGAATATTTTTCACATTTTTTTCTCAAATTTTTAGAATTTTTTCAGATTTTTTCCGGGTTTTTTTTAGATTTTTTTTCCATTTTTTTCCCAATTTTTCGTGATTTTTTAAGGATTTTTTTAAGCATTTTTTCAGAATTTTTAACTCTAAAATCATCCTAAAATTAAAGAATTTTTTCCTTATTTTTCCTCAATTTTTTATAATTTTTTCACATTTTTTCCAGATTTTTTTCAGAATTTTTTCAAATTTTTTCCAGATTTTTTCCAGATTTTTTTCAGATTTTTTCCACGTTTTTCCTGAATTTTTTCCCAATTTTTTTGGAATTTTTTCGTGATTTTTAAAGGATTTTTTTCGCATTTTTTCCGAATTTTTAGCTCTAAAATCATCCTAAAATTAAGATTTTTTTTCCACATTTTTTTCTCGAATTTTGAGGATTTTTTCAGATTTTTTCCGGATTTTTTTTAGATTTTTTTTTCCATTTTTTTCCCAATTTTCCGTGATTTTTTAAGGATTTTTTAAACTTTTCTTCAGAATTTTTAACTCTAAAATCCCCCTAAAATTAAACAATTTTTTCCTTATTTTTCCTCAATTTTTCCCATTTTTTTCCCATTTTTTTCCCATTTTTTCCCATTTTTTTTTCCATTTTTTCTCCTTTTTTTTCCTCAATTTCCTCATTTCTCACCTGCAGTACCACGAAAAAAAGACACAAAAAGGGAGGTCTGGGACCCCCAAAAATTAAAAATTAATTTGGGGAAAATTTGGGAATTTTTGGGATTTTTAATGGAATTTAAATCGGATTTTTTTTGGATTTTTCATGAATTTTTTTCCTTTTTTTTTCGATTTTTTTCCCATTTTTTTCTGATTTTTTTCTGATTTTTTTTCTCTTTTTTTCACGATTTTTTCCTGATTCTTCCATTTTTTTCCAAATCTAAAATTGTCTTAAAATAAAAGAATTTTTTAATTTTTTTTCCTGATTTTTTTTATTATTTTTCCATTTTTTTCACATTTTTTTCCTTTTTTTTTTTAATTTTTTACCGATTTTTTAAGAATTTTTTTTGGCTTTTTCCCAGAATTTTTAAATCTAAAAAAATCTTAAAATTTTTACAATTTTTTTTCTAATTTTTAAATTATTTTTTACCATTTTTTGTGTGATTTTAACCAAAATTTTAACCCAAAAAATTCAATTTTTTCCTCATTTTCTCCCCCAAAAAACCCCAAAATTCAAAATTTTTTTTGCCAATTTTTTAACTTTTTGCCTCGAATCTTTTAATAAAATTTTCACAATTTTTACAGAATTTTTAAAAATTTTTAAATTATTTTTCACCAATTTTTTTTTGTCATTTTAACCAAATTTCACTTTAAAAAAACCCCAAAATTTAAATTTTTTTTGCCAATTTTTAAATTTTTTTCCCTTCAAATTTTCCATAAAATTCCCACAATTTTTAAAATTTTTTTTTTAATTTTTAAATTATTTTTTACCATTTTTTTGTGTGATTTCAACCCAAATTTTAACCCAAAAAATTCAATTTATTCCTCATTTTCTCCCCCAAAAAACCCCCAAACTCCACCGAATTTTTTTTCCTGTGACCCCCGAATTTTTTTTTATCAACCCCCCATTTTTTTTAATTTCTTTTAATAATTAAAATAATTTTTAATTAATTTCCAAACCTGCACCAGGGGCACCAGGAAACCCCGGAGTGGATTCACGTCGTGGAGCCGCTGGTACGACGCCAACTCCGAATAGGCCACGGCCACTAAAGGGTTAAAAAAATTAATTAATCGATTAATTAATTAAT